ATTAATATATCTGGCTGAAACAAGTCTTGAATATAATCCTTTGAGTGTAGCTGATTTTGGCAAGGACTGTATGCTATCAGGATTGATAAGATTACGGCACTGTGGACAATAGATTGATAAATTCTTTAATATACGAACTTGTTTCCATTTTTCCAAAGCAAGGTTGCTGATGGTGTGACCACATTCCAATAAAAAGAAATCTCCAGTAATTTGATATGTTACATGACATGTTAAATCATTCGCAATAATATCAAGTATTATTTGATCCTGCATTTCATCCTTTCCTCTACCATTATTTAGTGCAGCTTTGTTTCGAGTGTTGTGATTTGATTGAAAGCTTGATTCATCTATAAGTTTGGCCTCAATATATTTTTCGAGATTATTTAATTCCAGCTGCTCGGCTTTATTAAGATTCTTAGCAAAGTTAATTAAGTCATTGTCAATTATAGAAAACCATTCAGTTTTAAGAAAGCGTAAAGATAATAAAACTTCTAGTGCTTTAAATCTGATGAATTCTGTTTTAGATTTTTCGAGAGATTCTAATGCTAAATAATAGCATAACGCCAAAGTGGATTTATGTGTTGTTTGCTTTGACAATTGTTGGGCGATATCTAAAATTCCAAACAACAAAGAAAAAGGAAACGCCAGTGGTTCAAAACCAGCTAGATCGTTAATAAAACGAACAGAGTTGTTGAATTTTTGATACATGTTAAGTTGTGTATCGTTTGGTGCATCTGTCCATTCATTTTCAGCTTGAAGCCAAACATACTCCATGATAGTAGATTCACCGTATTTCTGCAATTTTGAATTATTTAATTCGAGAGACCATTCTCTTAAAGTATGCACTAAAGTCAATGCAACCCTCCATTCTCGGTACCAGGATGATACGGGATGTTTGAAAGAAAATGCCTCTCGAATTCCATTAAAGCAATTTTCCCAGCTTGATTCTCCGGATACTATTATACCTGACGTTGCCGAGGACATTGCAAATTTACCGAATGAAAACAGTTGAGATAGCAAAGCTTTAGCACGACGCCAGATCTCAGAAGTCTTTGATTCATCATCATTCATTACATGTAGAGTATCACGAATATATATAAGAAGAAAATCAATATTCATGTTTCGAGAATATGCTAATTCTTCCTTCATCTTGGGATTAAATTCAGAAAACTTTGACTTAAATACATTTCCAACACCATCTTTAAATATTTCTGTTGCTTTATTGTAAATTTTTGCGAATTCTGGTAATTGAGAGTACATTCTTTCCCGAGTTTTGCTTGTTAGCCGAATTTCAGTGTGACACACTGCTTCTAGAACTGCAATCCATGTTCGAAGATGCAGCTCTAGCATACATATAGTTCCCTTTCATAATGCTTAGTGAATGGCGTCGGGTCACTTAAAGCTTCTAAAGCATTAATCAAAAGTTTGCCCGTGAGTTTTGAAGTTTCGGCCATTTCTTTTATTTTTAAGAGATTTTCGGGTTCTGTCAAATCTTCTATAAGCTTTGAAAATTTTTCAGAAATGTCGACGATATTAACGATTGGAGTAATCTCGATATTCGTTGGATAATGTAATTTATTCGTTTTACTCGATGTCGCGTAATTTTCCTAATATCCAAAAATTAATCAAGTTTTTTAAATAAAAAATCATTAAAAAAATGGAAACTTTACCTCAGCAAAAATTTCATCGTTATCAATATTGATGCTGCTGTTAGTTGACTTCTCGTTATCCATTTTACTAGATGATGCGTAAAAATATTAGACTGCGATTTCTTATCGTTATCGTTATTAGTTTTAAATTGTAACAGCAATGTAATTTAACTATTTAATTTTATTCAATTCAATCATATACCGATACATGTACATGTACATGTACGTAATAGCGATAGGAATTCCATCTCCGGCTGTGTTACCATCGTTATGTTTTACATGTACATGTACATGATAAAGATAACGTTAATTGAATGAACGATCGTACATATCGATATGTAATAATTACCGTAACGGTAACTATCATTGTTATCGTTATCGAAAATTTTAATCTTCTCTATGTACCTTGCCTAATGGTAAAAAACTAGTACTAAAAGTAAGTTGAAAAAAGAAAGAGAAATTGCATATAGATCATGATTCTAGTTTGCTAATATTTTGTGAACTAAATACAGAAAAAAATAACCAAAAATTTTCTTTATGTTATTCCTAATTGCATACTTTATGTATAACATAATCTCGATATTTTTCTAATGAGTCATTTGAAGCGTTAATAAAACATAAAATGTACATATGTATTATCAATTAACTTGTGATATATTAATTTTTTGCAACAAGTGAGGCATTCATACCACTTAAAAGAGACTAATAACTACATGAAATAGAGAGATGCATGTTAGTTGTTGTCTGATTGGTTTATATATCAGCCTCGGAATCATAATCGGATGTTTCATAACTAGATACTGCATTTCAATAAGTTGGAGTCATAATTACAATATTTATTACACAGAGCTCTAAGATTCAAGCTGATATATGTCAGCAATTTTTAACAATATGGGGGTGAGTCAACGAAAACCAAGCAAATTATATCTGTATTGTACATGTATATATAATTTGCTTTGTTGCTGTTGACTCACCCCCTTGGAATAAATAATATTGTTACACTATTTTTTAGCTGTGATATTTATATAAAATTTTGTTTTCTATAATACGGTAAACACTGACTCCCTTGTGAAAATTTAAACCTTAATATAACCTCAAAGCTATTATTCATTTGCAGAAAATAATCGGGTTTATTAAAAAATATCGACTAAAAATTTCTACAAGGGAGGTGACTCTTTACGGTACATACGAACTTTATTTAGCGTTAGACTAAAATAGTCATTTATAGTTTTGTGATCAGCTGCATTTTCATAGATAAATCACACATTTAATAGCATATCGATATTGTACATGTAATAATTATTTAATGAAAAGCGATAACTTTCCTATCATCCTAATGATTACGCTTTATTATGTCATCATGTTAAAGATTCGGGCTAAATTATTAAGCCCTAACCCAAATTATTTACTTTTTAGTTTTTCTTATGATTTTTTGATTTTTTTGCATAATATGCAAGTCCTTAAGTGTCCAAACTATTTGATATTTCACTCAAAGTCTAGATATTGTGCCAGACAATTAAGCCTTTTTCGTAATTTCAAATCAAAATCGAATTCAAAACTGGTTAACCAGTTTGCCAATTGAGACTGAGTGGTCTAAACAACTAGACACATCAAAATTCAAGTTATTTTCGGAGGATGCCAATTTTATCAAATACTTTTATTTATGACAAACATCGCATATTGTCTATATGGTATCTTTGTCAGTTTCTTTCTAAATGATCACTGTCTTTTTGGGTCTAGCATGAGATGATTGAATGGTGTTAAATAAAAGGATATCACTTTGTAGTTTACATGTACCGGTGCATGTACGTACAGTACCCCAAAAGTAACGCCCGATGTAAAATTAAACAAACAAATTTTCACATTTTCCCGACTTATTTTCTTTTCAACAATTTATACATAAAATAAAAAATTATATTTAATTAATATTTTATCTGCCCTCCATTCGACTTTAATACGGCTTCAATTCTTCTTGACATTGAGTAAATAACCTCTTCAATACAGAGGCGTCAAGTTTTTCCCACTCCTTTAACGCGATTTTAAGTTCGTCCTCGGACCTCGAAAGACTTCATACTTTTGAACATTATCCTTCAACACCTTCCAAATATTCTCAATTGGGCTTAGGTCTGGTGAATTCGCTGACCAATTGATACTCATGATTTTATTTTCCGCGAATAACTTTTGATTTGTCCTGCTTTATGGATCAGCGCATTATCTTGCTGAAAACTTACACGGTTCCCAGCTAATACCGTAATTGCTTTATGATACGGTAACAAATTAGCTTTCAAGATTCTAAGATAAACAGCCGAATTATTTTCCCCCATCATTTTTGTATTCATCACAAAATACCAGTGATCCTTTGTGTCTTCCCGAAAAACACCCCAAGCCATTACAGATTTTCATCCGCTTTTATAAGTAGGCTCCAAGCAATTAGCATTAAATCTTTCTCTAGTGTGTCGCCAAACTCTTGATTGTCGTGATAGCTTACCAATTTCCACACTCGTCTCATCAGAGAAGATTATATTTGCCCGAGCATAAGCTGTTTTATTTTGATTTTCCTCACACCACCTAAAACGAATATAAGCATGTGTATCCGAATGTAGGGTTTCTTTGCGACACGAGAATAAAGTCCGGCATCGTGTAATACATTTGTGGCAGTTGACAGACTACAGTTAAGACCTAAATTGACAATTTCGCGGAGTGGTATATGTCGTTTTTCATTAACTTTACATACGAGTAAATTTTTTCCATGGTTATTAAGGACTGGTGGTCTTCCAGAATGAGGTAAGTTTTCACTTTTTCCCGTCCTTTTGTAGTTAGCAATAAATAGGACTCCGAAAAGTCTGCTCGTTGGCTCGCATACATATAATTTAATTAATAGGGTTTAAACCCATATTATTAAATTACATATAAAATTTAGGCTCGAGTGGCTCGAGGCTCGGCTCGTTAGGAGCCTTAGCAATAAAGCGCCGTATTGTTGTGGGATCACGTCCAAGCATTTTTGCGATTTGGGTTGCATTTTCGGTTTCCATGTATGCCAGAATCTTCCCTTTTTCAATTTCGTTTAGTTGTGTACGAGTGGACGTCGTTTTTTATATAACAATGTTATAATATTGACGAGTTGTAAAAAGTAAACAACTGTCAAGATTGTTTATCAAACCGGGGGGGGGGGGGAGAAAACTTAATACATATACATGTACATGTTCAGTATATTGATTTTTTAAAATTGGTTACGCAAATCGTGCAACACTTTTTAGGGGAACTTGCATGTACGTACATGCATCTTTTTACATGTACAACGATTATTAAAAACATTTACGGTTTATCATTATCGTTATCGTTACCGTTACAATGAAACCATTAATCGCCGCCATAAGAAAATCCAGGCTATGGACAAAGCAAGAAATTGAACAAATAAAAAACCTAGAGAAAAAACCTGGCACCACATGGAAAGAAATACAAAAGAACTATTTTCCGAATCGAAGTCTTTCTGGATTACTTCAAAAATGGCAAAAAGAGAAATCAGTACTCGAAAAACCCAACAATATTAAGCACGACGACAGTAACGATAACAATAATGTTTATAATTCAAATTATCATCATTTTTGGACAAATAAAGAAATTGAAAAAATCACCAACTTAGTATACGAACACGGCAAGGATTGGTCCTACATACAAAAAAATCATTTTCCGAATAGAACTGTCGGTGCACTTCAATCAAAATGGTGGAAATTGAATGCAGGAAAGATTATCGCGTTAGAAGAGGAGATCAAAACATTGCGTGAAGCTGTAGTAAAAGTTGGCTCCAGGTGGACATTTATTTCCAGGGAGTATTTTGATTCCAAATTGCCTCCTAAATATTTGAGATTTGTTTATAACCGAATGATTAAGTCTGATAAAAGACGCAAATTGGAGCAAAAGAATGTAACAACTGCAGAGCATCGTAAGCATTTATTCAAAAATTTCTGATTTTCGAATTTATTTGTATAGAAATTTAACAATATCACGCGTTTTTAAATAGAAAATATTACCAAAGATAGAATCGAAAAGAACGACCGTTCATCGTTTCGGAAAATTGAATCAGAACCTTTCAATAAATACCGAAATAAACGTTTCGAAAAATTTATGTCAGACACAAAGAATGACGTTGAACATTTGAATACTGGACCGTGGAACCCAGACGAACAAATGGTCTTTGAGTATGCGTATAAGAAATATGGTCAAAATTGGGATCTGATTTCTGAAACTATTGGATCTAGAAGCGAAGGTCAATGCGAAACTTATTGGAAAGAAATAAATGGGAAGATCAATTAATATTCCAACGAATTCGCGTAAACGTTGGAAAATCATAATTCGCAGACAAAAAAAAACAACTATTAAGTCGAAGAAGCAACTATTCACAGAAGAATGCGTCCATCAGTAGATCGAGAACGATAACTAATTTTAGTAGAAAAAAATTGGATGCGATTACCATGAATAGTAGAGAAAAGTTAAATTCAAAGTTGCCTTGAATTTTGCATTCGGAATAAACTACTTTAGACTTTGACAATCATTATAATTTTTGTTTTCCATTTTTCAATATTGAAGATAATCTTGTCGCTATATTATAATTTGTTAAGTACGTATGTATCAGTTAGTGCGGCAGATAAAACTTTCTTTTTTTATATCTCATTTCTTAAGAAAATTCCACGTCTTTATTCTTTAAAAATACGATTAATGTGTTTGTTAGAATACAAAGATACCGATACGTTTGGTTTTTATTGGTTAGTCACAAGGCATATGAGTACGTATGCCATAAATATCTATGCGAACCAAGTACATGCACTGTTACCGTAGTAGCATTAAATTCTTCGATTCCATAATTTTACTCTAAAATTAGTTTTTTGTACAAAATTCATTGTACGTAAACTAAATTTGGAAATATTTCATTATGAATAACTTACCTTTTTTTTCTTTTCTTTCCTTTTTGTTGTCGTAAGCCCCATCGCTCCTCAATATTAATGTACGTAACGATAGTAATTATCGAAAGGACAATAATTATCTAGACAATTGAAAGGCATCAAATGATTATTGCTTAAATTACTTTTAGAAAGTTTCAAAAGAAACAATTAATGTGAAACACTAACCTTAGAATTAACGTGGTAATTCAATCCTGTATATAGAGGTGCTCTCGAACCTTTGCAAAAGTATGCTTTAATCCAATAAAATAACAAAGTTCTTGCTTGTAATAATAATATTACTCGTGAATACACTATTATTTCGATTAAACTTCAGTGGATGCTCCTCCACTTAAAATAAGCCGTTATTTTTCTTTGATTCGATTTTGTTTCCTCGAACAGGTCGTATCAATAAGTCCTGTTGAATTGATTTTGTTTTCTTTGTACAGGCCGTATCAATAAGCCCTGTCGAATTGGTTTTATTTTCTTTGCACAGGCCGCGTCAATAAGTCCTGTCGAAATTAACATTGTTTTTTCTTGGATAGGCCATGTCAATAAGTCTTGTCACGTTTGTGATTATTGTTGAATAAATGAGATTTTATTATGACAATTTGACTTTGATTACAAGAGTGATTCCATTCTATCTACACTTTCAAGCAAACCCCTCCCCTCCTCTATTTGTTGAGATAAGGTCGATCTGTGAACAAATCGTCACGGGAAACCTTTGGAACAACCGGAGAAACTCTCCAACCGTAAATAATTCAGCTTAACTCTCACCGTTGCAGAAAGTTCCTTGAATCGATTGATTATTGTAATAAATACAATAATCTGGTGCCCCCAATCGTCACCGAATAAACCCTTTTAACTAAATATTGGAAGGAACGCAACAGTACATGTACATGTAAAATCATTGTTCACCTGCGAGATGCAGATTCCTTATTCGGGAGATTATTATGTATAACATATACATGTATATGTACAAAATTGAAAAACGCGTATTTTATCTCGTCTACTGTTCATTAGCCAAATTAAATCCCATACTTACAACAAATGTCAACGAATGAACAAATCGCAATAGAGAAAAACTATACCACTTTTCATCCTTCCGAGTTTAATATTGAAGATTATACAGATGAGCAAGAAGCAAGTTTAGAAGATCTATTTAATCATTTCGATCAATTTATTGAATGTCTACAAGATACTATTCCTATTGATCAGTTTCCTGCTGGTGCTATTTTAATTGAGCATAACAAAAGTCGCGGTAACCCATAGAAGGCGTTGAATATCATGTTCCATTAAATACAAATTTCCATGAATGGGTACAAGAATTTGGTAAAACAACAGGAGCAACTTATTCTAGACATAATATAGAACGAATATAGGAAATATTATTTTGCGAGTTACTTACAAATGTCATCGTTCTACTTATCAATCCGTAGCAAGTCAAAATCAAAACCATGACCCAATAAAAAGAAACTAAAAAATGTGATTGCAACTCACAAATTATTGTTACCATCACCGTTACTAAAACGCGTATATCTAATAATCCACAAATGATTATATGAATCCAGAGGTATTAAACAAAAAGCCATATGCTCAAGCTGCAGATATTTATAGTTTCTGGATGATAGTGTGCGAGATTGCAACAGGAAAACGACCATTTGACGCTACCAAGTAATGTTCACGGATGGTGCAAATTTATTATTGAAAATTGTTGGGATCCTATTCCACAAACTGTTGAAAAACTTCTAGTCTTAATTGCATCTCTTGACCCGTAAAGGAATGCAACCTGAGTACTTCATTTCCAGTACTACAGTGCTTTAGAATATCCTAAAACAGACTAAGAAGTTAATAAGTGTCTTAATTTAGACAATCAGAAGAAATGAAATTGAATCTTTACTACAAAATTAATTTCAATTTCAACAGAAACAAGATGTTGAAATATAAATCATATTAACATTTCACCTTAATTAAATCATATCAAATATTTAAGGTTTACAAGTGTCAGTTTGTACGTTTCAATGAAGATAAAAATCACTATTTATTTAATATCGATAGCATTTTGTTTTGTATCAGTAAATCGATATATCGATATTAAGAAGACTTGCTTGTATACAACCAACCTTAGTATTGAATTTGATATTGATATGTCGAATCAACAACAAAAGGGTAAATTACTATTTGATATTCTTGTTTATTAATTAGTTACTATTTTTTCTTTGAAGATTCAAAACAGAATGAACTCATGATTGCAGTAATGTTCACTGCAGTGAATGTTCTGATTTTTACTATCAACTTTCAAACAGTTCCCTTTTGAAAATTTAAATGTGGAATGTCTTTAATAATTTATAAAGTGTCGTTGCACTCTTACAAGTGGGATCATGACGACAGAGATGATGGAGTTGTTGTGTTGAAATCATTATGCTATTCAAACAATTTCTAAAGTGCAAGCAATTTATTTGTTTTCTAATACAATTAAGCTTTTCGAAAATACTTTGGAAAAAGTCGTATGGAATAACTAAAAACCCAGCTACAAATAAATATTTGATATTAAAAGACGGCACAAAGTATTGACTTAGGAAGAAAAATTACAATCTTTATTACCCTATAAGAAAAATCGGTATGGAATAACCTGTAAATGGCATGTAAAATAGCATGCAAATAAGCTGCAAATAAGCTGCAAATGGTTCGTAAAACACCCGTAAAATATATGTAAAACAACTGTAAGCACCTGAACTATCCAA